TTACAGCGCATATCTAGTAAGAGGATTGAATAGGAACTTTGAAGGTCAGTTCACTTCTGCCATCAATGTACTGAGAACGAATAATGTTTGATTATTTATGTTATACGTAACATATCAGATTCATCAGATAGTGTAATATATTATTAATTTAATCATGTCCAACAGTCTTAGGTGCAGGTTGAATTTTTAGGCTTGCGAAAAAATTTTTCCAACAAGTGAATTGCTATGAAAACCTAAAGACTCGTTGAAAAGAAATTTGCTAAATTAGATCTACTATCTTAGAGTTATAAAACGTCAATATAATAAAGACAAATCACCAAGTTCTAAGGGAAACGCGCTCGACGCCTAATCCACAATCGGCCAGATTTTTGCTCATGATTTCTTCACAACTTCAGTAAAAAATTATCAAGTAATTTGCTTCCTATAATCATTTCATCAAAAAAAGCCTTTTTCAAGAAAGTATTTAGTTGAAATCTCCATCGACTCCCTCTCCAACAACTCCAAGTACCTAAGAAAAATGTAATTTTCACGAACGAAGAATTTCACCAAAATTATTCCTAGCCAACCCAATACATGCGTACAAAAAAGTAGAGCGGTGATTCGATCTGATACGCAGGTCGACTGCATCATCAGCGGTATGAGAACTTTCTTAGTATTCATACATAATACATTATTTATCAAATTGCAGCGTAGCTCTTGCTAGAGCTCCCTAAATGCAATACAAACGAGCCGGGTTTTGCATTGTGCGACAATTTTTGAACACAAAGCGAAATTAGGATGTAAACTAACCATCAACACCTGCTAAGTTGTCAATGTAGAACAAGTAATTGTCCTCATACATAGCCGGCAGCGCATACGCATCTGCTGGGAACTGGTAATATGGTTTATGAGTTTGTACCTCAAAAGTATAATATATGATCGATCATTCAGAACTCTGATACAACATTGCATGCACCTTTACAAATTTTTCGATCTCTTCGGTAGTTCTGTTTGGCAGCACAGTTGTTCTATACTCCCCATTACGAAATACATTAATCCATTCTCCAAACATACCATAAACTTCAGAACTGCAATCTTGATGATAGATGGAACTTTAAAAGAGAAGAAACCTTACAATTGTACTGTATATCCAACGTGGGCATCATAATTCTGTCTCGCAACTCTGTAAATAGGATGGGTAATGTCAACGTCTTCATCAGCCACAAAGAGAACGGCAGCATAAGCAGAGTTCTAAACTTGTCTTACAAAAAAAAAAAACGCAAACAAAGAAAATGTGGGTCAAACCTTGAATGCTTCCAGCTCTTTCTTGGTTTCAATCTTCTCAACTACAACGCTTGTGACTTGCTTAATTTTGCAAAATTCTTGTGTATTGCAATCACAATTCAAAACTACATAAATAACATATTTCATAAAGATTGAGCTCGTACCTTATAGAAGTAAACTATTTTGTCGGGTGTACGCTCCAGATCAAACAAGATCGGATCTAGATTTGCGAGGAAAAGATAAATAGAAGGAAGAGCCACAACCTTCAACTGATCCCTGATTGGCTTATTCAAGGATGACTCTATATCCATCTAAACTATAGTCTATTAAAACAAAAGAGGTATGGGTCTTAACTTAGCCATGGAAAAATGACTTTAGATGAAATATACTTCCTGTTTTGAAGTCCTATTCTTCG